AGTCATCAAGCCAAGAAAGATCCCACCCTTCTCCTTGGAATGAAGTCCTGCGAACCCCGTAATCCCACAGGAGCTCCTCGCTGACGGCAATGTCCTGCAGAGCGAAGAAGAGAACGCATTCCCTGGGACCATCCAGAAATTTTAGAGAAACTCTCTGAGGCCGCACACTGTTTTTGCTGCAGGAATGGTTCATCCTCCTCCCATAAGTCTCCTGGTCTGGGTGGCAGTCACAGGGGAACTTCTGGGCATCGATGCAGAGAGGCTTGCCACCCTTGCCCTTAAAGAAAAACAGGTATGATGGCTCCCCGGTGAGGGTCTCCAGCCTCCGCTCCCCTTCCTGCTTGGAGACCACTTCACCGTGGTAGTCACACACGACCTGGTTCCTCTTGAACTCCATGGTGGCAATGACCCCTGCACAAAGGTAAATGAACGTGTTATTGAGCAAACCGCTTCACTCTTTACAAAAATAAAATAAGATTACAATCGTGTTCAAAAAGTGGGTAGTCAAAACTGTGACACCTTTGCCTTTCCCCTCAAAGCTCTTAATGGCCAGCCCTTTCCATTTCTGCTGGACCACGGAGGCAATGATCACAGGATCATTCTCTGCAGCCGATGGCTCCTGGCAGGGCACCCATGCCAGCAGAACACTGTCCACGGAGGGCACGTTGGTGGTCCACGCATTCTCCTTGGCAATGGCACGCTGGACGTGAGATGCCAGGGGTTTTTGGCTGGTCCTGCCAGTGGACTGCTCTGGGGAACAGGACTCGGGTGAGTTTTAACCAAACACAGCTCACTTAAAGTAGACCATAATGTGACGGGCACCATTGTAAGCACTTACCAAGAATATACTGTACCCGCAGCTTGTACTGAAGCCTCCTCCAGTAGTGGTAGTAGCTGCGGTCCATAAATCCTGCCTCTGCTGCCTGCGCCCATGTTGGAGGCTTTCCGTGAAGGGTAACGGGAAACCGGTCCTCAAAGGCACCCCAAAACCGAGGAGTCAGGAGCTGGGCTGCTGCGGTAGGTGCTGCTGTCCTGTGAGGAAAAAAAAATCTATTTGTACATCAATAGTTTTACTACAAAGACCATGGTTGAAGTACAGTTAGTGTGTAAAAAAAAAAAATATATATATATATGTGTGTGTGTATATATATGTAAACATTCTGTACCTCTCCGGCATGTGTGGTGCCTCCC